CGTCGCCGGCCATGTTGGCCCCGCCGTCGCTCAAGCTAGCGCCCTGCCTGCCCGCAAGCGGTAGGGCAACATGGTCGTGCAGGGCGGGAATCCGGTAGCCCCCGCCGCCAAGGCTCGCGCTCCCGGCGCCAACGCTGCTGCGCGATCTCGGCCGGCGGCAGAGAAGGTCACCAAGGCCGCGACCGGCAAGATGAAGAGGAATCCGGCTACAAACAAGCCACCTCCTTCATCCTCGAACTCCATCCTGGAAAGAGGTGCCCCGGCGATGCCGTTCAATGGTGATGCTCCCCCCGCAAGCGAGGTGCTCGACGAAATGGCCAGAAGGTATGCGTCTTCGGTCATGGCGCTTTCCTTTCGTTTTCGCCATTTTTTGCGATAGCTCGTGACTTGTTATCGTTCAATATAGTGGTGGTTCAAACAATGCAACTGCCGAGTTCGCGAATTTGTTGGACACCAATGCCGTTGACATTGATCAAACCCCGTTCGCCGCATTCGAGTACAATGAAACGAAGGGCGGCGTGGATGATCATGGTTGTGAGGACGAATTGGTGGAGATCGAATCGGAAGCGTTTGAGCAATCGCAATCAAAATCTGAGAAAAGCCAAAGATCGAAGAACTACACGATCTTGGAAGATCAAGCTTTGATCAGAGCATGGAGTGCGGTGTCTCTTGATGCATGCACGGGTACTTCTCAAACCGCCAAAGAGATATTGGCAAAGGATCGAAGATCAGTACTTCCCCATTATGGCAAAGTATCCCAATAGGACTTTACGCACATTTCGGTCGTTTCAAGGGCATTGGGAGAATATCAAGCCTATGTGCAGCCGTTGGGCAGCTTGCTTGGAGCAAGTACGCAATGCACCTCCAAGTGGGACCGTGGAATCCGACTATGTGAGTTTGTTTTGCCTTTGTTCAAGTTGTGCATAATCATATTTGCATCATGAGAACTGATTACATCACTTTGTTCACATTATGTAGGACAAGATTGCCAACATAGATACAAAGACATGGAAGCTTCGGAAGGCAAATTCTTCAAACTAGAGCATTGTTGGGAGTTGCTCCAAAAGTGCGAGAAGTGGAAGTTGATCGACAAAGAATCCCCACCGAAGAGAGGCTCGCTTACAAACATGGATGAAGATGAGGATGATGATGGCCCAAGAAATTTGAACAAGCCCGATGGCGACAAGAAGACTAAGGAGAAACGAAGAGAGAGCAAGAAGCATCGAGCTTGAGGGAGAAGATTGATGCCATGGTGCAATCAAACGAGTTGATGTTGTTGAAGTCATTGGAGATCAAGAAAGAGTTGGCCGAGAAGAAGGCAAAAGAAAAGCAAGAAAAGTGGCAATTGCTCAAGGAAGAGGGGCTCCGCAAAGCTACCATTAAGGAGAGAAGAGCACGCGCCGCTGAAAACAAATCCATGTACTTATTGCTCGCCAAAGAGAACAAGATCATGTCAATGAACCGCGATGACATGGACGACCTCACCAAAACATGGCATGATATGGCAAGGAGAGAAATCTTGAAGAGGAGAATGGTCGCGTCAGCCGGTCCGTGTTACAGTTTCGGAGATGTTTTCTCTGCTTCATATGGTGGCAATGTCGATCATTTCGGTACGGGAGTTGGGACAAGCGCCGGAGGTGGATTCGGTGGTGCCGATAAACTTCAAGATGGACTCGGTGGCGCGGAGTGAAGATCGACCAAGATGGTGACGAACATGGCCGTAACTTTTGCAAGGCCCTCTTTTGTGTTTGTCGTACTGAACTTGGCTTTTATTTACGTGTAAAACTGTGTTATGTTTGTTTGAATTTGAACTTATTTGTGGGAACTTGTGTCAAATGCGAAAATTGAGCGTTTTCTGTTTCCGGGTCGATGCGGCGGTGTTCGAATAGACACCGCAAAAGCCGACCCGGAAAAAAGTATATTCCGCAAATATCCTTTTATACAGGTCCGTTTGGGGGGTCTGCGTCTGCGGCCGTCCGAGCCAGCCCGCAAAAGCGGTTTCCCCCGAACTGCAAACGCATTTTGTGGGCCGGCCGGATGCGGGGTCTGATAGAGTTGCTCTGAGCCTCCCACGACCACACGGCGGCCACCTCGCACCCCATACCGATGCCGAGGCAACGCCCTTCGCCTCCCCTCTCCGCCCTCTCCTTCGCTACATTCACATTCCCCCTCAGTCCTTTCCTCTGCTATCTGCAGGCTTGTGTTGCTGCCTGCTGCTCTGCGTGCAGCGTGCTTAGATTAGTGGGCGTCGGGTGACGTACGTGCGCGACGGAGAGAGGGCCAGAGGAGAAGCGATTTCAGGCCACCGACTGAAGTACATACATGCGGGGAGAGGGCCGCCATGCCGGACGAGGCGGCTACGTCTTCGTTGGGATGCAAGGGAGGAAGATCTTGGAGCAGCGACCGGAGGCCGTTCAACGCAGAGCGGTCGACCCTGTGCGACCGAGGAGACGGCCGTCGGGCGACTGCGTCGAGCCATTGAGTGAGGAATGGGAGACGAACTGACATGGCTGCGTCGTCGAGATGGCAATGGCATTGCGTTGTTATTAATTACATTATTATAAAATTAAAAAGAAAAAATCCACACTAATAGTTAATTACCGAAATGTCCTATGGCAGAAATTTGAGGAATTAATACCGACCATTGGATCCATTATATACTACACACTATTTCAGGTTGCAATCAGATAGGCCTCTAATACTCTATTTTTTTAGGATAATAGGCCATTAAATACTATATTAATATGTGTGTTTAACATTTATATTTTTTTAACATAGTACAATCGCAGATGCTCACATACACAATCTTACACTCACAACTATGAACGCACACATGCATGCCCCATCCTATGAGCACCTTCAACATACTGAGTCAGAATAATATCTTGAGATTGATAAATTCATCACAGGTGTCTCCTCTTATTGACCAGATATCACTGGAAAGTCTAAAATAAATTCAGTAAAATGCGAATGCCAATGCCCAAAGAAAATAATCACGTGAGCTACCCTCGGTTCCCGATGTTTAACATTGTCCTTCTTCCGCTGCGCCCTCGGCCTCCATCGCTAGCTGTGCATGTGATGCGCCGTCTGCGCGTGTGCGGGACGTGACATACGGTACCGGAAAATCTTATGCGACCGGGTCGCTGGCTCCCAACAGAACGACCCATTCCATCGGTGTACACGTGGACCACGAATCTCTAAGCAAACAACCGAATCCCATTTTCCTTGTCCCGGCCTTATGTGCTACAACACCCCGTACCGTCTTTTATTCTACCACGACGCGAGTCATCGGCGGCGCCGGGAAACTTGCCGGTGACCTCGTGAAGTTAGACCGATCTCGTCCCTGTTTTCCTCTCGTCCCTAGCGGCTGGAACCCTAGCCGCCCCCAGGAGAGGCCGGTCTTCCAACGCCGCTCTCCGGCGGCTCCCCTCCGCCGGCGACCTCGGTCATCGGTGGTGAGGGGGTCGCCGGATCCACGCGTGTGGATCGTTTTTACTCTCTTGTAGTCTAGTTTTTTAGGTTGTTCATCGTCTTTGCTTTGGCGGCGATGATGACAACGCTGAACAAAAATTCTTCGGATCCTTTCCTAACGAGGCCATCGGTCCTATGGTTGGGGATGGATTTGGAAACCAGTCTGTTCAAGTAAGGATGGCGTGGCGGCGGTGGCATCCTCGTGGTGGACCTGTGTCCTCGGGCTCCGCCGCTGCGACGGCGTTTGCTCCAGCGTCGGCGCGGAGTTTGGGAGGTAATCCAGGAGCGGATGCAGATTGTGGTCTGCATCGACGACATCTGGAAGACGGAGCATGTGCTGGGCTCGTGGTTCGTGGATGGCAGATATGGTTTCCTCCTTCGGCATTTTAGTCGTGGTGGGGTGCTAGATCTGGAGTTCGACGGCGTGTCCGGGGTATTGCCCGGTCTGATTCGTTCAACGGTAAGGGCTTCACTTTTGGTGAGTCACCTTGGAGGTCCGCAAAGCTGCATATCAGTGATGGAGCCGCGTCGAGCTCAGGTGAGAAGGTGATTCGTCATTCTTTTCTTCGGTGGCTACTGTGGTGGTGCCGGAGGCAAGTGACGGGCATTGGTGTCAAGCTCAGAGATGTTCTGCTATCTTTTCAATTTTGTCATGTCGGTCTTTACGTGACTTGTACTTTGTTTTTTATAATATGAATGAGACACGTATTACCATGAAAAAAAGTGACCTTTCGTTTGAAAGGGGCAGGGCAGCATTAATCTAGTCACTTCTCTTCTTTTTTTTCGAAACGGAATCTAGTCACTTCTCGTGGGAGCGCTGACTGGACACGGCTGCCGTGGCTGTAGTGGCTGGTGCTGCCGTGCTAGATCGAGTATACGGTCGGCCCGGGCTGTCGTATTTTGCAGAGAGGGAGCGCACTGGTCGGCGGCGAGCTCGCCGTGCTCCCACCACCGGCTCGATGGAGTAGCCGCTCCCGTGGCTTCTATGCCTCTTCCGCCCCTTGTCGTATCGGGTGTGTGATTTTTGTCCGCCTGCCAGCTCGCCGGACATGGGCGGCAGGCTAGACGAGCAGCGGAGGCGACTAGATCGACGAGTGCTGGCGGCGGGCTGGGCATCGTTAGGAGGATGGGGAAGAAAAGATGCATCAAGATTGATGAAGGACACGTGGCATCTTCTGGAGAGGGTCTTACCAGATGCGATGTGAGACCAGGTCGTATAGGATTATTTTCCCTCGGCTGCCGCGCGCACCCAACGCGGCCAAGGGGGTTCGTCGTCCGCGAGAGGCCACAGCCCACGCACGTACGCGTGTCGAAGCGTCTCCCTGCCCATACTGGCGCGGCCGAGTGAGGCTAACCCGTCTGTGGCTGTGACGATCGCGGCGAGATATAGCGAAGATAAGGGGACACGCACTTCCATCCCATTCGACCATCTCATTCCGCATTCCGCATTCCGATTTCCCCACAAGACGCCGGCCGCAGCTCCCCACCAACCTCCTGAGCGAGAGCCAAGAACTCTCTCCGTCGATCGTATGGTGCCCATGGTCACCGAGGCGTGGACGCTCGCCGGGTGCGGCGGGGCGGCGGCGTCCAAGCCTTTGCCGGCTCAGGAGGTCCCCGTGCTACCGCATCCTACCGCCAAGAAACCCGCCTCGTCGAGAGGGGTGGCCGTGGCGAGCAGCGCAGGCCAGGACGGCCGGCGCGATGCCGCCGTCGTCGGGAGGCGCCGCGGCATCGCGTCGTGCCTGCTGGCCGCGCTCGCGCTGGCCGGCTCCTCCTCAGGCGGCGCCGCTCGGGCCGCCATCCTGGAGGCGGACGACGACATGGAGCTGCTGGAGCGCGTCAAGGAGGACAAGAAGAAGCGGCTCCAGAAGCAGGGGATCATCAGCTCCTCCGCCGCGGAGACAGGTCGGTCGGCTCGGTCGATCAGCAAAACCAGCCATGCCTTGTAGTAGTAGTACTGATCCGTGATGCTTTGCAAACTTGTGCTAGCAATTAATCCTTAACCACAGGGTACCTGCAGGACCTGGTGTACAAGCTGAGCAAGGTGGGGCAGGCCATTGACAAGGACGACCTCGCCGCCGCCGGCGACGTCCTCGGCCCCGCCCCCGACGCGCCGTGGGTGCAGAACGTCAATGCAGCTTTCTCCAAGGCACGCATGCTCTTAACAGAACACAGATACTTACATGCAGAATTAATTTGCTTTTCAAGTGCAATTTCATCTGATTTCTATCACCGTATCTGTGCTACAGTTCAGCTCGAGCAGTGAGGAGAAGAGCGCGGTCGACAGCTTCAACTCCTCGCTGTCCTCCTTATTCACATCAGGTATGTACTTATTCATCAGTTTTTCGCTCTAGCAGTGGAAGAATTACGAAAATGGTGATCGTCTCGCTTTCCATTCTTGTTGCAGTGAGCAAGAGCGACATCAACTCGTCCAAGTCGGCGTTCGTGTCGTCGGCGACGGCGCTGGAGAAATGGGTGGAGCTGGCCGGGCTCACCGGCAAGCTCAAGGGCTTCTGAATTTTCTGAGATGAGTGAATTGTTGCTGTCTGACGAGTACATACCTACCTACCTGGAGATGATGTTTTCCTTCAAGCGCTGGCTTGATGATGTTCTCCATGCAACTGATACATGTGTTGATTCTATCGTAACCACGGTTTCGACGGGAAAACAATCTGTTAGAGTCACAATTCCCTCTGTTTTTCTTCCCCTTGTTGAGATGTAAAAGACATTTTTTGTGTCAAGAAATTATTTGCAGTGTATTAGGATCTTGAGGAAGAAAAAGTAAGTTCATCCGTGTACGTCTAGTGCTTGTTTGCAAGAAATTCATGCGAGTTCTTGCACTCAGATTACAATGTATCGCGTGAAACCAATGTATGTTCATCCTGAGTATCTGACTATGGCCATCACAAATTAAACTCTCACTTAAAATTAATAAACTTCTGTTGTACATGCCAGACAAGAACATAACCCCTTAACCCAGCAAATTTAATATCACAGCTACTAATGCTGATCTTACAGCACAACACCAATGTACAAGGCAGGGCACAACTACAATACCTTCGGCAAGCGACCGGGGGCCAGATCTGCTGCATCTTTTGATCAAGTTACAACTTAACACACACTCTACATTACAAGACATCGGGACTGACAAGGGAAAAGGCTAGCATGAAAGGTGCTCAAGTTCTCCATGAATATGTACAAAACGGCGGGTAGCTGCTCAGCCTGCACACACAGCATGAGACATTAGTAAACGAGAAGTAACTACAAGAAGCCCCATGCTCTGTGCACAAGACTAGCCAGACAAGAAAATACAAGGGAGAAGAACTTCAGTTGATTAAATTAGTTCTCTCATAAGAAGTGTATAATAGCTGTAATAGCACACTGCTAACATGCACCCACAGCATCTATAATAACTGAAAAATACACATCGAGCATGCACAGTGGCAGGCACCAAACTAATGCTAGAGGACCTTTTCTTCTCCTGCTAATAGATATTACACAGGTCCTCTCAATTTTCGAAAAAGTGAAGACGGTGGCATGCGCTAATATAACTCACAGCTGGCTCTCGAAAAGAAGACTGGATGAAAATGGATTACCTGTATGTTCTCCACCTGTAGAATCTGAGAAGTTATTTGGCTCAGAAGATAGAAATGGTGACCTGCCATAATTCTCCAATACTTCTGCAGACAACAAAATGGTAGATAAATAACGTATACAGCCAATGGACTTTACGTGAAAAGGTGCTCAAATAAGAAAAGAAAAGCAATGGAAAACTCTCTCCCATTAATGTACCTGTATTTTGGTTGAACCCCTCTGTTAAGTCTGAAAAACTGAAATTCCGGGGAATCTGGCTCAAGAAGCCAAATGACGATGACTCCATATCCAGAAGTGCATCATTCAGTGGTTGCCCGTTCAACTCTGAGCTGCTAAAGGAACCACCCGAGGCATCGCCAATTGATTGGCATGATTCAAGGAAAGCGTTCCCACAGAAAGCAAAATCAGCGTTGCTCGAATAGCTTGACTCTGTCTTTATTGTTGTACCATTATTATCTGCACCATAAAGCAGAGCAGATGCATTCTGGGCTGGTAGCACGCTGGTTGAAGCATCCATACCACTGTGAGGACCGTGAATGTTTTTACCACCATAAATTGACTGATCACCAGATGATGTTCCATTTACTAAACCACCTGAACTTCCGTTGCGCATCGCACCATTTGGCATTGCAGACATGGGACCAGACTCTGGTAAAAAGCACGAGTTTTGCTTCACTGAAACAAGGAAAATAGCAGACCATGTTAAAATGGCATTGATCAGCAAGTCAATACAGTATGGAAAGCGGAGGCAACAAACATAGCCCTCTTGAGCAGCAATACCACTTTGACAAAGTAAACATAAACTTCTTGAGAAAGTTCTCAGAGATTACTTTGTACTTGTTTCTACGTTACTTAAATGGTGAGACAAAATTACATTATTACACCAGATAAAGACAAGCATACACCATAGAAAACTCCAAAGCTGGGAAAAAATAATGTCTTACATGTTGTGGAGTTGGAGCCATTGGTAAGAGGCATAGAAGGGATCCCTGAAGAATAGTCTTTGTTCATAAGCTGGAACTGATCCTCAAGAAGCTTGTTGAAGGCCGTTATTTGATTCTTAAGCATCAGCCTCAAATAGTATGCCTTGAAAAATTCACGGTTCTCTTCCTCAAGTTTTTGCCAAACTGGAAAGAACAGAGTAAGAACATAAGATTATGGATGAGAATAACAACAAAAGAAAAACACATTTCTACGAAGAGTGCAATATACAAGGGGATCCTTGAAGTTGAGGGGTGGTTCATCTAGGTCCATGTACCCCCAAAGTGCATATGCAGGTCCCTGGTGTGCCATAAATCATATGTCCTTAACCCACCAATTGAGGTGATTTCATGCCAAACATGTGCAATCGAAGGTTGCACCAACACCTTCAAAAATACAGAAGTTCGTTTTGGTTTTTATACAACAGAACTGTGATATATAGTTACATACCACCCATAATCGTAGCATTATGGCATCCCCATCTTGTCGCCATAACAAGGATAATACCACTGTGGCCCCGTCAAGGCCAAGACGTCAACCCTCACAACAAAACATGTCTGTGGCATCTGTTACAGAGGCATGGAGCCTGTTTGCAATTGAAGTGGCGAGGTTGGAGTC